TATATATATGTATGTATGTATGTATATATATGTATGTATGTATGTATATATATGTATGTATGTATGTATATATATGTATGTATGTATGTATATATATGTATGTATGTATGTATATATATGTATGTATGTATGTATATATATGTATGTATGTATGTATGTATGTATATGTAGACACACAAACACATGCCAACTTACCTATACATAAAAAGGTGTATTTCAACGTTTTAAAGTTAAAACTGCGGTAATTTTATGCAAAGTTGGCTTTGAGCGGTGCAAATGTAAAAAAATAGAGTTTAGGTGTTAGATATGTAAATATATAGTAATTTGGTGATATGTATATAAATGACCCTTTTGATTAATGTAAAAGAAATTCGTTATATATATATATATAGAGAGAGAGAGAGAGAGAAAGAGAGAGAGAGAGAGAGAGAGAGAGGGTGGGGATTGTTTTAATATGCATTGAGGTTGTTCCACATGCCACTTCCAACCATTCACTTAAATAGTTATTCAAAGTTTAATTTTTTGATCTAGAAGTAATGACTGTGGAGGATTTGATAGGGAATTTTGTATAGATATCCCCCTTAATGGTCACTTTAAAACTCTTGAGTTCTTTATAGAAACTAGTTATTATAACTTATGAATGATAAACTACTCGTGAAAATACCTAATCTTGTGAGGACATGATGGAATATTATGCCAATAGAGCTTCCTAAATCAACAAGGATCTTTTGAACTTCAAATTTGTTGAACGTCTTCTTACCCACTAATTTGGCGTAATCACGAGAAAGGCCAGCAGGAAGCTTCTATTTGGGTTTTTATGAGGTATTGAGGATAATATCAATTTATGATTCCTTTTAATGACCTAGTTTAGGATTTGATAGGTAGGACTGTCAAAACGGCTCGTTGTTCATGAACAACTTGAGAAGCTCGTGTTCGATTCGTTCGCCAAGTCAACGAACCGAACACGAAAACTTTTTTTGTGCTCTATTTATGCTCTATATATAAACAAGCTGAACATTTTTTTTGTGCTCTATTTATGCTCTATATATAAACAGGCTGAACATGAATAAAGATTTGTTAGTTCGTGTTCAAATTATAATCAATTAAAATTATTAAATAAAAATATATTAAATTATATTAAAATGATATTTTAATATAACCAATAAGATTTAAATCTTACCTCAACCCTTAACAACATCCTACGGCTGCATGATTAGGGTTGTCAAAATAACTCCTTGTGAGTCAAACATTAACAATTTTTTTGAGCTCGATATATAAACGAGTTGAACATAAACAATGATATTTTTTAACGAGCCGAACAGTTCGAATATAAACGAGTTGAACATAAACAATGATATTTTTAAACGAGCCGAACACGAACTGAGCCTGGCTCGCTACGAACTGAGCCTGGCTCGCTCATGTTCAGCTCATTTACACCCCTATTGATAGGAGCTTATGCAGATATCCACCATAATAGCCACTTTAATATGGGGTTTAGGAGGTGGGAGTGCTCAATCTTGTGTGTGAATATCATAATAATAAAAGAAGTCATCTAGGTCCTCCCTTCCAAAAGAGAACAAATATGCCATGACTCTCACTTTAGCATATACATGCCTCAAGTTAAGTAGTTTTAAAGAGAACGTATCGGGTTCTTCGCATTTGGGCTTCTTGTTGGCCTTGTTGGTTTAATAATAATAAAAGAAGTCATCTAGGTCCTCCCTTCCGAAAGAGAACAAATATGCCATGTATTTTTGTTCTTTTTTATTTGGGTCATTTACATACATATCACACAATGTTTATATATTTAAATATCTAACACCTAAACTTCAATATTTACATGCATGTCACTCCAATCTTTGACATCACATAAAAAATACCGCTACTAACTTTATTTTAAGTGAAATACACCTTTTAATGCATAGGTCTATAACACCAAGTGTTATAAATGTAAATATCAAACTTGAGGTGAAAAATAAGAAAATACATAAGAATTGTGCAGTATGTACGTAAATTTTCCTCTTTTTTTTGAATTTTCTGCAATTGCTTACTGTTGCATCTTTTCTTGAGACAATAGAATTTTGCTGGAATGTGGCTGGTTAAAAAATACATATAAGGAAAAAAAAAAAAAAAACCTAACACTAGTCACTCCTTAAAGGCTTTAGAAGCTAATGAGCACTCATCTGCAACACAAAAGTACCATTAAGTAAATGATGTTTAGGCATGGCAGAAAATTTGGGTTATATGAGCTCATAGGTGCTAATCTCTGTTTTATAAGTGCTCCTATCACTTAAATTTAATAGGGATGCATAAAACCTATCGTTAAAACGGTAAAAATCAAACTCAAATAAAAAAATTCTCAGAAAACAACTAACTGAGCATATCATACAACCTATCTAGTAATACTGAAAAAAAACTGATAGACATTAGAAAATAGTAAACATTAATAAATTGTCGCCAAAATAAGGTCAAAGAAAGTGCTTACTTCAGCACCCAACTCCATTGCAGCCTCAGTGATTTCAGTGCGTACTGGTTGCTGATTGCCTGAAAGTGTTACCTGACAAGTCATCAAACAAGAAGAGATCAGAATTTTATCGGGAACGATCTGTAAATGCAAATATGAGCCAAAAGCTTACTAAATGATTTTATTGCATCCATTAAATTTTTCTAATACTGCATTAATATGGAAAGCCTTCAACTGTTTTTTATGAAAACAGTACCGAAAGATTTCAGAAATCTGCCCAATACCTTGATTAGCTCACCTTCACAATAACCATCAAACTCTTCCCTGCAAATAAAATGTGTTAAAATGCAATTTGAGAATTCCAAGAGAGATAAAATGAGTAGTTATGCAGTTATGAACTAAATAATTCATACGCAGCAAGTTCTTTCTGAACACGGACTGCTTCCACTTGGACTACCATTTGGGCTTTTTTAACTGTCTCATACAAATTTTGCATATTACCTAGAATACCTGCCTGCAACATATGGCAGATATATGCAAATGTAGTTTTAGTTTTAAAAAAGCTGAAAATTAAATCTAGGCTCGGAAGAAAACTTGATAGGCATTACAAAGTATGACGGGGCTTGATGTAGCCCTCATCACCTTAATGTGTAAAACGAATAACCCTGATCACCATTGTGAAGATGGAAATTAGCAGAAATTAACGTTCTTCACAAGTAGCTATATTGTATGTCAATCGGTTCTATAAAGTTAATGGAAAACTTACATGCATACCACTTAAGTCCTATTTATTTACATAAATAACACCAAAACTTCAAGTTCTACATATATGTCAACCTACCTATGAATGAAAAGTTGTGTTTCACATTTTTAAAGTTAAAATAGCAGTATTTTTAATGTAATATCAAAGATTGGGGTGGTATAAATGTAAAAAGTAAGGTTAAGTTGTTAGATATGTAAATACATAGGATTTGAGCGGTATGTATGCAAATCCCCTAAAATTAATACATAATTTGAAACCAAAAAATATCAAAGCTGGAAGCTAAATAATTATACTGAATACCATCTGAATATCTTCACTGCACGTCATTCACAACTAGCCAAATAGTAATCAGGTAAACAATTCAACTAACAGATGCACAAAGGAAATAAGGACCCTAGCAAAGGGATATTCTATGTCCAACTTGTCAGGGACTGTCTTTGGTCTGCCATATACTATAATTTTCACGTGGGAAGGATTTTGTATTTCATTGGAAAGAAGAAACAGCGGGATAGGTACCAAAAGATGTGTAAATGAAGGTTTGGAAATCTCATACTTACAAATATGTGAGTTTTGAATAATACTTTTTCTCACTGAATACATAGATAATTCACTTATAAATAGGCGAGTACAAGAGATAAAAAATGAAGAAAGAAATCTTCCTACAATTAAGTAATTCATATAATTATGGAATAAACATAAATAACTATAATTAAGGAATTACCCTTTTTATACTATGACTAAATATAGCAAGTACTAAATAGAATTAAACTATATAATAATGAGCGTAATTCTACACTCCCCCTCAAGGTGGGTTGTACAGATTGTACATGCCCAACTTGTTGGTTGGCTCATCAAAACTGGACTTAGAAGCCTTGGTGAGAATGTCTGTGGTTTGGTCTCTAGAAGGAGTATAGACCAATTCAATGATTCCATTGTCCACCTTCTCTGAAATGAAGTTCTGATCAATTTCAATGTGTTTTGTTCGGTCATGATGAACAAGATTCTTTGCGATACTGATTGCAGTTTGATTGTCATAGAACATCTTGATAGAATTTTCTCTCATAATTCCAAGCTCCTTGAGAAATCTTTTGATCCACATACCTTTACAGATACCAAGCGTCAGTACACTGTATTCTGCTTCTGCACTACTCCGAGATACCACCGACTGCTTCTTACTTCTCCATGTCACTAGATTGCCGCATACATACGAGTAATAGCCAGAGGTTGATCGTCGGGTGGATATATCTCCTGCCTAGTCAACATCAGTAAAGACTTCTACCTTTTGATTATCATTCTTTTTTAATAATAATCATTTCCCAGGTGTCATCTTTAAGTATCTTAAGATACGGTTGACAGCTCCAATATGTTCCTCAGTAGGACAGTTCATGAATTGATTTACTATACTTACTGAAAAACTTATGTCTGGTCTGGTATGGGATAAGTAAATAAGTCTTCCAACAAGTCGTTGATATCGTCCTTTGTCGACAGATAAACTATCATTCTCCGTTCTAATCTTTTTATACGGGTCTATTGGAGTGTCTATTGGTTTGCATCCAAGCATACCAGTTTCTTTCAATAGGTCCAATGTGTACTTCCTTTGAGTTACAGCTATCCCCATTTTGGATCTTGCAACTTCCATTCCCAAGAAGAACTTCAAGTCTCCGAGGTCCTTGATTTCGAATTCATGGG